CATATTAAGTAGTTATTTATTAATAACACATTTCTTTATTTTCAGTAATATATTCTGATCTATTTTAATCAAGTATTAATTATCATTTTGTTTTTTAATTAGCCTAATTTTCATGTCATTTTTATTACCAACGAATAATTCTTTTTAATATATATTAATTATATTAGATAATTATTAATATAATGTTTTTATTTCCAGTAAATTATTAATAACAGATACTTTTTTTCTAATTTACATATACTATTGTTAATGTGTTTCATTTTCGACATTGTTAATTTAGATTTTTTTTAATAAATAAAATATTATACCATAATTTGTATATTTCGATTCATTTTTAATCTCAGTCAATTATTTTTATCATTAAACTTCCTGTAATATATTATATGTCATTTTTAATTAAGTATTAATTATCATTTCGTGTTTTCATATATATATATATATATATATATATATATATATATATATATATATATATATATATATATATATATATATATATATATATATATATATATCATTTCCTTTTCCAACCATGCCATTTTTTTCTCATTCAATGATTCTTTTTTGATACATATTAATTAGTTAATTATTTATAACAGATTTTTTTTAATATTTCTAGTAAATTATTAATAACAAATATCTTTTTTAATTTACATATACAATAGTTAATCCGTTTCCTTTCCTACATAGTTAATATGGGGATCGTTTTTTTTCTTAAATATATATTATACCATAATTTATGTATTTTGTGGCATTTTTAATCACAGTCAATTATTTTTTCAATTTACCTATACTATTGTTTGGGCTGTCTAGCCATTTTTCTTTTTCATTTGAGTTAATTTGAAATTATTTTTAATTTTTAATTTAATATTAATAATCATTACATTTTCCAATTGTGCTAATTTTCATGTCATTTCTATTCTTAGTCAAATATTGTTTTAAAACATATCAATTAGTTTATACTATAAATATTAATATAATTGTCGATATATATTTTGAATTTATATATTTCATGTCATTTTCAATCAAATATTAATTATTATTATTTTTTCATTCCATTTTTATTTTCAATCAATGATTCTTTTTTATTGCATATTAATATTAATTAGTTATTTATTAATAACATATTTCTTTATTTCCAGTAATATATTGTAATCCATTTTAATCAAGTATTAATTATCATTTCCTTTTCCAATTGGCCTAATTTTCATGTCATTTTTATTACCAATCAATAATTCTTTTTTAATACATATTAATTAGATAATTATTAATATAATTTTTTTTTATTTCCAGTAAATTATTAATTATTATTTTCAATTTACATATACTATTGTTAATCCGTTTCATTTTCGACATTGTTAATTTGGAGATCTTTTTTAAAAAATATATCATAATTTGTATATTTCGTGTCATTTTTAATCTCAATCAATTATTTTATACTTTCTCAACTTATTGTAACACAAAGAACCAATAACACCTCCATTAAGGCTCGAACTTATAACTTTCCAAATAGAAGTCCAACCCAGATACCATTAAACCACATAATCTTGGTACATATCAATTAATTTATACTATAATTATTAATATAATTGTCGATATATATTTAGAATTTATATATTTTATGCCATTTTTAATCAAATATTAATTATCGTTTTCTTTTTCAATTGGTCTAATTTGCATGCCATTTTTATTCTTAGTCAATGATTTTTTAATACATATTAATTAGTTAATTATTAATAACATATTTATATATATTTTTATTTTCAGTAATATATTCTGTGTCATTTTTAATCAAGTATTAATTATCATTTCCTTTTCAAATTGATCTACTTTTCATGCCATTTTTATTCACAGTCAATGATGATTGTTTTAAATACATATTAATTAGTTAATTATTAATAACAATTTTTTTAATATTTCTATGTTGAAGTGATTTTATGATACTAACAACTATTATTGTAAATAAGTTTCATGTGTAAATACGATATGCAACCTTTATTCATTTTAAAGTTTTGTTGTGTAATAACTATATAGGAAACATTGCAATATTACAATTGAAAAAAAATACTATTATTTTATTAATTTCCAAAAACATACTATCAATTAAATAAGATTTGATATTTAAAATGGGTAATTAGCTAAAATAATAAACTTTTAATACACTATTTTAAAATAACAAATTATTACAAACATCTTAGTAAACAACAAAAGAAAATCTATATTCTCATTTATCAGTAATTCTGATTACACCAAGACTAATTAATTTATATATTAATTGTGCAAGTTAGGTGTTGCCACATCCTTTACTAACATCCATGTTAATTTGTCCAATGTTTAAACTCATGACTCATCTGTATAATCTTCATTACAATTAAATTAAAAAGAATATGATAGTTGTTAATCCATCCCATGTCTAAACTCATAAATACAATCTTCATCACAATAAAATAAAAAAGAATATTATGATAAAGAATTGGATATGATACATCTATAATTCAATTTTCATGCATGAAATATATTCACAAAATAAAAAAAAATAAAGTAATTAATAAATATAATATACAAACAACTTGCTAAAGTGCTTACCTGAAATAGTTGCGAAATATTGCATTTTTTAAAAAATAAAACTACCAATAAAATATACTTTATTAAATTTATATACTACTTTTTCAATATATGCAATTGCATGTATATTAATAAGAACTAAATATGAAACTTTTAATTTTCATTTACATGATTGTATAGTAAATTCTGTATGGTACTACACAACAAAGGAATAATCCTTATTCACAGAGATTGAACAAAGTTATTGATACATCAACAAACTAAGCCTAAAATTATTCAGGAAAAAAAATACAGTATTAATATGATATATATATATATATATATATATATATATATATATATATATATATGAATCTTAAAAATATAATGGTAGTGAATATAAACATGAAAAAAAAAAATTAATACACATATATTTACGATCGGCACTCTTTTGAGTTGTCATCCCCACAATTAAAATTAGGCATGTCTAATTATGCCTAATATATTGAATGTTAATGGTCATGATTAAAATTAAATATTCACCATAATTAAATTTAACCAATATAATAATATATTCTGCACGGTAAATGTTATTAGGCATGTCTAATTATGCCTAATATATTGAAGTCCTATAATACACGAAAACAGGAATAGTGGAATACTATTAGGATGTAAATGGAGATGAATATAAAATTACTATAATTTGATTTGATTTGAGTCTGATTATGCCTAATATATTGAAGTCCTATAATACACGGAAATAGGAATATATCTAATATAAATGGAGATGAATATAAAATTACTATAATTTGATTTGAATATAATGGCATATAATAATATCTATATATAAATAATGGATGATATTACATAAATGCCTCTAAGTTTTGGGGGAAAAATTTAGCTAGGAGAATTTTACTTTTAATTATAGTTATATAGATAGATTAGGATTATTGTTATGCGTGTACATACATATATTTGATTTGGACTTGTGTACCAAGGCTCAATATAATAAAATGGGCTACGAAGATATCATGTCAAAATTGTAGCTTAAAGAATATAATATAAATTAGGCAAAATAATTTATTTATTTAAGGTAGAAAATACTAATTTATATTTATAGGTAGAAAATACTAATTTAAAAGGAAAGAATAATAATTTATTTATTTATTTAAGTTAATAACATCATTATTATTATTATATTATATTACGGATATATATATATATATATATATATATATATATATATATATATATATATATATATATATATATATTATAAAAATGCTGTAAAATGAACTATGCTTGTTAAAAAAAAAAAACATAGAAACTTGAATGGCATGTACAAATCTCGAAATCAACATACTAACTCTAAGTTTTAGAAAATCATCAAAATTACCGTCTTTATCATCCTCGATCGCATCTCTACAATCTTCCATAAAAACTAAACCAATATGGTTCTGTTACAAATGCTCTTCCTCCTCAATTTCCTTTTGTTGAAGCAGAGCCTCCTTAAATATCTTCAAACTCATACCAGACGATATAAACTGCAAAACATATTGAAGTACGTGAGAATATAGTTAGAAAAATGTAAAAAATTAATACAAAAAGAAAGCAGAGATATGAGTTTGAGATTCTTTGATTGAAGAAGCCCTTGTATTTATAGGTAGAAAATACTAATTCAAAAAGAAAGTATAATAATTTATTTATTTAAGGTAATAAAATTATTATTATTATTATTATTATTATTATTATTATTATTATTATTATTAATTTCCATTTGACATTTACTTACCAAATAAGTTTTACTACAAAAATTTTGGAGGGAAAATTTGTTAGGAGGATTTTACTTTTATATATATATATATATATATATATATATATATATATATATATATATATATATATATATATATATTAAAAAAAAAAAAAAAAAAAAAAAACATTACATACCATCTGAGCGTGCTTGGCAAAATAACTAAATTTTAAAAACAAAAAAGTTGTTAAAATATTCTCCCCTGCCATGCATCCTACAAGCACCACACATAACTACACCAACCAACTCCAATCAAGAAGCTCGGGAAACCTCTTCTTATTCAAAGCATTATACGTATATGTATATATATATGATGTGATCTGATTTTAGTGTCTTTTTTTCTTTTTTTAATTTGTTTGGATCTATCCCTGAGCTCATCAGCAGAATTGAAGCAGAAGGAGATCACAGATAGATCAGGCCGGTGGTCGTGTTCTTGAAAGGTGAAATTTGGATCAGAAAAAATGGAGTTTCTTAGGGAGTCATTCTCGTCGACCAAAGCAGATCCTGCAGAATTTCAAGCGGAGCTGACTCTCAGTGATAAGCTTAAAACCTTCAAATCCTCAACCTTCGATCCTGAAACTTACGTTTGCAGCAAATGTCGTACCGTCAGCGAAAAGGTTCGTTCGTTTGTTCCTACGTCTTTTTCCTTCTCAGCTCCTTCTTCAACCATATTATATTGCATGTATGTATGTATGTATGTTCATGATGAACAGGAAACCAAGCACTTGTGGCATTACCTTATGGATTTGAAGAAGGCTTCTGCCGAGGAAATGCGCAAGAGTGTTTACGCTAATTATTCCGCTTTTATCCGGTAACGATGCAACTTTATTTTCTTATACAGCTACACATTTTCAAGATATTGGGTGCTAATCGACCTCTGTCCAATAATCTACTAGTCACCAGGTGCTCTAAAAACCCCAACCAGCCTAAGCTATAACTAGTAGTTAAGGCAGCAACTTTATTTCCTTATACAGCTACACATTTTTGAGATATTGGGTGCTAACCGATCTCCGTCCAACAATCTACCTGTCACTAGGTGCTCTAAACACCCAAACCAGCCTTAAATGTTATTGCTGGGAATCCGAACCAGCCTTAAATGTTATTGCTGGGACATCAAGCGCTTACCACTTAGCCAAAAGCTATAACTAGTAGAGTAGTAGCTAAGGGTGTTCAACTTTATTTATTTATACTGCCACGACGCTAATACTGAACTTTAACTTTTTTACGGCCTCTGTCCAGCAATCTCCCAACTAGTGGGTGCTAGACTTGGTCTTTACTGGCCTCCGCCCAACATTGAGTTTTAATTTAATGTTTTTGTGTGTGCAGAACATCAAAAGAGATTTCTGATTTGGAAGGGCAGCTGATTTCGTTGAGGAATCTGTTAAATAACCGGGCAGCAATAATCCAAGGATTAGGGGAAGGGACGAATCTTGATTCCTTGGCAGGGGGAGAAGGGCTATCCAAAGAGGAACTCTCAATCTTTGAAGCCAGGGAGCCTGCCAAGATAGACAAGTGGAGAGTGGAGTTTATGGAGTCTCTCGAAGTGTTGTTGGCGGAGAGGCGTATCGACGAAGCCTTGAAAGCGTTAGAGGAAGGCGAGAACGTGGCGAAGGAGGCGAGGAAGAAGCAAACGTTAGCCCCGGAAGCCCTGCAGGCCTTGCAGACTGCCATAACTGAGCAGAGGCAGAAACTGGCTGATCAGCTAGCAGAGGCTGCTTGCCAGGCTTCGGTTAGCGGGTTTGAGCTTCGTTCTGCTGTAATGGCGCTTAAGCGCCTCGGGGACGGCCCCCGGGCTCACAGCTTACTCCTCAAATCCCACCAGCAAAAGCTGAGGAGCAACACGCAGGCGCTTCGCCCCTCGGGGGCTTCACATGGAGTGGCATACACTGCTGCACTTTCCCACCTTGTTTTCTCAGCAATCGCCCAGGGGGCGAGTGATTCCCTCGCCATATTCGACGACGAGCCTGCTTATTCCTCCGAGCTAGTCACGTGGTCCGTGAATCAGACCGAGACGTTCGCCCAGCTCATCAGGAGACATGTCCTGGCTTCCCCTTCAGCCTCGGGAGGGCTAAGAGCTGTTGCGGAGTGTGTCCAAATCTGCTTGGGCCATTGCGCCCTGCTCGAGGCTCGGGGGCTAGCCCTTTCCCCGGTCCTGCTCAAATACTTCCGGCCTTGCGTCGAGCAAGCCCTCACTGCCAATCTCAAGAGAATCGAGCAGAACACTGCAGCACTCGCGGCTGCAGATGACTGGCTCCTTGTTCATTCCCCAATGGGGACTCGCTCCCTGGGAACATCGTCCCTTGCTGGCATGATTTCACAACCTAAGCTCTCAATGAGCGCCCACAGATTCAATACAATGGTTCAGGTGATTGTCACCAACACCCTAATCCTCCTTCCCTTTTTACTCCAGCTACGAAAATCATGCTCCACCTTTCTCAGGAACTCTGCGAGGACATTAGTCCTCTCGAGAGCTTGCAGTTATCCGATCAGGCAATGGAGGGAGTCCTGCATAATTTCAATGCCTATATCCATATGTTAGTGAATGCAATGCCTGGCACAGTGGAACATGAGAACCTCGAGGGATCCGGGCAAAGAATTGTGAGGTTGGCAGAAACCGAAACCCAACAGACAGCTCTGCTGGCCAATGCATTGCTATTAGCTGACGAGCTGGTCCCCCGGGCAGCCATGAAGCTCTCGCCTTCGCTGCAGGACCCGGCCAAAAGAGCCTCGGATCGACGGCTCCCAGAGCAGAGGGAACTGAAGAAGAGACTCCAACGAGTCGTTGATCAGTTGCGTGACACCTTCTGCAGACATCATGCCCTCGAACTTATTTTTGCAGAAGACGGGGGGGTTCGATTGAATGCTGATATGTACTTGAGTATGGACGGGAGCGGGGAAGAGCCAGAATGGTTCCCGTCCCTAATATATCAGGTAGTAGTATTAGCTGGTTATAGAAATGTGTTTATAGATATCCGTTCTGGATCACTTATGTAGCATCATGAGTATCATTCAGGAGCTATTCGAAAAGCTGTCAAGGATTTCCTACATTGCATCAGATATGTTTATGGGAAGAGAAAGATTTGCAACTATGCTTCTGGTGAGACTCACTGATACTGTCATCCTTTGGCTTTCTGAAGATCATGCCTTCTGGGAAGAAATTGAGGAAGGTCCAAGGCCCTTAGGCCCTTTTGGACTTCAACAGGTATTTTAGCATATAATATATATAATATTTTCATATCAACTATCAGTTTAAACTTTTAATTATGACAGAATATATTCTTAACCAACATAGGTGTCTGAATGTTCAACTATCAGCTTAGACTTTTAGAAACAGCACATCGTTGACCAACACAAGTGTGTTCCTCTCTAACTATCAATCACGTTAGGCTTTTAATCTAGACGGAACATATCTTTAACCCACAAATGTGGGTGCGGGTAAATTATTGTGTGGACCATAACAAAAAGTACATTTCTAATATACTAAATGTACATTATGTTTGTACTGAATGTACATTATTTGACACTAAACAAAATATGGTCCACACAATAATGATGGTGTGTGTGTCCAACTATCAGCTCATACTTTTAGTTATAACGGATCATATATCCTTGGCCCACATAAGTGTGTGCCTGTCCAACTATCGATCACATTAGACTTTTAGTTGAGACGGAACATATCCAACCATAACTGAAATCTGCCATTGTTGCAGTTCTATCTGGACATGGAGTTTGTGATTCTATTTGCATCCCAAGGTCGGTACTTGTCCCGAAACCTGCACCAAGTTATCAAGAACATCATAGCAAGAGCCATTGAAGCAGTTGCTGCAAGCAAGATTGATCCTTACAGGTACTGCATATATAATGCTCTTTCAAGACTATGTATATATGTATAATAAAATAGTTTTATAAATTTCTAGTCTCTCTGATCTCAATCTGTGTTCTTTCTTCCATTATATTGCAGCGGGCTCCCGGATGATGAATGGTTTGCAGATGTTGCTCAAATCGCAATAAAGATGCTCACCGGAAAAGCCAACTTTGGGAATATGGAAAGGGAGGTGGGCGCCGCCGGTAGCCCCACCGCATCAGCCAGATCTGCATCGTCTCCGGTTTCTCCTAGTCAGTAACAGTTGGTGGTGGTGGATGCATATAAATATATATATACTCATTCTAGGATACATATATATAGGTTTTATGTTTCATGCATTTTTCTTATTCAGATCAACTTCTCAAAAGGCATTATATTATCACTGCAAATATAGGTTTTATTATCTACCAAGATTATATTAAGTAACAAAAAAAAAAAAGAATAAATTAAGTATTACCAAATTAAGTTATTTTTTTAGAACTCGAGAATTAAATAACCTTGGAATAATAGCTATTTCTTTTACAAGGGTGCATGGATAAATGATTATCGAAAATAAAATGACTTACCAAACAACGTAATAGGTCTATTTTAATTAAAAACGATATTTCATTCTCAACTTATTCCGTTAATTAAACATACGGTTAATATTTCATTAGTAAATAAATAATTGAACCCCAAACATGTACACTGGTTACTGGTCCCAAATTGTATTGATGCATGTTATTCTTTTAATTAAATCACATTTAGTTATTAGCTTTTAATTTCTTCCATAGCTCAACATGTTAAGTGATCCAAGTGGATGAACGAACATGTTAAGTGGTCCAAGTGGATGAACGAGTGTGACCGTACAAAACTGTTGGAGAAGTTAAGCCGATAATGTGAAAATATATGAAATTTTGTGTCATGGTATAATTATTGTTATAGAAGCGAATTCGCTGTTATTGGTGCAGACTCCCAACAACAGCGTTGCCTCCGAAGATTAACACAACAATCCATGGACAGTCTCCATGCACTCAAAGCAGGGATTGAGACTTACACATCACACTTAAAATAATATGGGACACACAAGAAAGAGATCATGTCTGAAATAATAAATTGTTCTCGTTCCTTGAAAGTTTAATTAAATAGTATAGGCTAAGCTAGGCTTCCTTGAAAGTTTACTTAAATAGTATAGGCTAAGCTAGCATACTAGCTATCAAAATATATTCTGACCACTTACCAACTTGTGGTGAATATTAAATCATGAATAAATCCCAGGATAATATATAGATATTTCATGACTTGCATTTTTCCTAACAAAAACTTCTAACTTGATGCATACCATGATACAATTTGTGTTGCAGTCATTATTCGATGATATACACGAGTGAATTTTGGTTTTGTTTAATAAATCACACTAAGAAGATCGATCCTGTATAACTAGTTTGACCTACAAAAATTTGGTAAAAATTAAATTCACGACCTTTCAATACGAAAATCATGTTCAATCTATCTCAAAAAATAAAAAATTAAATTAAATATTCAATCTATATTGAGTGGACATGGACTATACAAGTTTAAGTATTTGTAAATTAAACTCACTAATTTGCTTTGCCAGCACGTTACTGGCATTTTTACTTGACATTAATGTCTTTATGACTTTATCTGTTTCTTTGTGGTTTTTTAATTTTTTTTTCTGGAAATAATTAATAAGATGGAAACATTATTATTAAATACGTAATAAATATATAGGAAATGAATAATAACTACAAACACGGTAAATGTACAATAATAATAGAAATTGATGAGTAATTATTGCACGGGCAGCTTAATTGGTTGATTCTTGAGTGATAGATTGTGAATAAGGACAATAAATTGATGGACAGTTAATCATCCATCTTTATCTTCATCCTCGAGTTCTACCAAAATCTCCCTACACTCTCCCAAATTTTCATAAAATATTCCAAGTCTGAGAGCTCTCTATACAACATATAAATGTACACATCTCACTTGATGAAATACAGTGAATTTGACATAACAACATCGAGCCCGTAGTTTTCATCTTTCGATTTCACATAAAACAACTGTGGTGTATCACTGTTTTTGAATTTTTAATTTTCAAGCACACATGCAGCGATGTATTACAATATTCATAATAGAATTGAGGAGGGATAGGTGCTGGGGCGGATCAATTTTTTTTTTTTTTTTTCTTTCAGTGGAGACGAAAGATTAATACAAAAGAGATAGTTTTTTTTTTTTTTTTTTTTTTTTTTTTTTTTTTTTTTTTTTTTAAAGAAACACTTAAAAGCATATATAGTCATAATTATTGCTTGATATGAACGAAAAATTAAAACACATCAAAACTATAATTTATAAAAAAATTAATTAATTTATACCAAAATATGAAACATAATTAGTTTGGTAAAATAATTCGAATAAGAAACACATTATAAATTATACGTATCACTATTAATATAAAAGAACGTTGCTTGCACATATTATATTTTAAAGAATACAAATAAAAATATCACTATTAATATATTAATATATTTCTAAAAAAAAACCATAAATATGGTTGGATATGGGCGAAAAAATCGAAAAACATCAAAATTTTATATAAAAAAATATTTATACCAAAATATGAAACATAATTAATTTGATAAAATGATTCAAATAGAAAACACATTATAAATTATACATCTCAGTATCTCACTAATGATGTAAAAGAATGCTTGCACATATTATAAAACACATTACAAATTATACATCTCACTATTAATGTAAACGAATGCTTACAAATATTATATTTTAAAAAATAAAAATATCACTATTAATATTTCTAAAAAGACCAAAAAGTGGAAAAATTCAATGGGAACAAAGAATCTAACCTTTAACCATTTCTAATTTAAAGTCATAGCTTACCATCCCACCTAACTCGAGTTTTGGTTCCACACACAAGGGTACTATATATAGGGGTAGGGTAGGGGGCAGATGCCCCCACTATAGCTCCGCCCATGGGTAGGTGGTCGAGTTCATGTTTACATGACTGGTCTCTTTGGTACATTTAGACACATAATTCGCTCAGAAGGGATTCACGATTTATACAAAGGAATTCTTCTTGAATATTACAATGCAAAGTTGCACCAAGCATTTGGCATTGATTTCATGGCATATGAGAAAGTGAAGCAACTTCTGTCAAATTGGTGATGGTTTTTTTTTTTTCTATACTAATAAATTTTGTTGGGGAAAATGAGTTAGGATTTGGAGAAGAAGAAATTGAGATTCACTAATGGAAATTTTGAAATTTCCGACCACCTGAAAATGATCTTAAATTAAGTTGATACCAAAAAGTCCAAAAAGTGGTCGGAAATAGCAACAAAGGTTTTTCCGGATACCAAAAGTGGTCGGAACAAGACTTTCAACTTGATTTAAGATCACTTTCAGGTGGTCGGAAATTTCAGAATTTCCAGTAGTGATTGAGTTGTTTTTTTGGAAAAAAAAAAAATAAAGAACAAGCTAATTTGTCTAATCTGGAATTGTTATATTTTAATTATTTTGACTTTAAAAAAAAAAAAAAACAATACACTACTGAAAATTATGTAATTTCCGACCACCTGAAAGTGATCTTAAATCAATTCGTAAGCAAAAAGTGGTCGGAAATAGCTATAAAGGTTTTTCCGGACACCAAAAGTGGTCGGAACAAGACTTTCGACTTGATTTAAGATCATTTTCAGGTGGTCGGAAATTCCACAATTTTCAGCAGTGATATGAAAGGACAATTTTACCCTTCATTTACATAGCCCAAATAGCACAAAGTAATAGAAGGACCACAGATAGTAACAATTTGAAAGTTGGAGGATCACAAATAGTCAATTTAAAAGTTTAGAACTAAACGTGACAAAACAATAATTATACTCAAAGAACCTCAGATGGTGTTAATTATAATTAGAGTGAATTCCATTTTTGGTCCTACTGTTATAGGGGCGTTTCCAATTTTAGTCCACCTTAATTTTTTTCGCCACTTTATAACCACTATTATTGAATGTGTTCCACTTTTAGTCCCACCGTTAGTATTTCTATCAAGAGGCCGTGTAAACTAGGGGTATTTTGACATTTCTTCTCATCCAAGACTATGTTTGACTAAAGAAATGAGAATATTAAACCTAAAACCTAAGAAACCTCGCCAGCCCATGTTGGAACGAACGAAACGATGTAGCTTTGGCTTCCCATTCTCGTTGTTCGAAGAGCCATCTTCGAATATCGGAGGAGGAGGACGAAGTGCCTGGATTAAAAGAGAAGAGACAAACATAAAAAGACCAAAATACTCTTTGATTATACGGTCTCTTGACGGAAATATTAACGGTGGACTAAAAGTGGAACACATTCAATAAGAGTGGTTGTAAAGTGGTTAAAAAAATTAAAGTGGACTGAAATGAGAAACGCCCCTATAACAGTAGGACCAAAAATGGAATTCACTCTTATAATTATAATACACTTTTTAATATAAATAAATAAGTAAACACACACACACACACACACACACACACACACACACACACACACACACACACATATATATATATATATATATATATATATATATATATATATATATATATATATATATAGACACACATACATACACACACTATTATTAGTAACATACACATACTAGGTGGGTCCTTATTGGCCCGCCAATTTTGTGAGACATAAAAAACAAAGTCCGCTCCGTTTTTTTAAGAATAAAAGACTAGTTCGGCAGACTAAGTCCATTTTAACGGCAGTAGCTAAAAAGAATGGTTAATGTTGCATTGAACTCTAGTGGCACTACTGAAAATTATGAAATTTCCGACCACCTGAAAGTGATCTTAAATCAAGTCAAAAGCCTTTTTCCGACCACTTTTGGTATCGGGAAAAACCTTTGTTGCTATTTCCGACCACTTTTTGGTATCAATTTGATTTAATATCACTTTCAGGTGGTCGGAAATTCCATAATTTCCAGTAGTGTGGCGGAAACAACTTTTTAATTAAAGTGTAGAATATAGTAAACAAAATTAAAAAATAATTATTGGTTTGCCTGAGAGGTTAAGGGGAAGATTTAAGATCTTTTGTACATAAGTGTGCATGGGTTCAAACCCTATTGCCAGCATAATTGAGTATGAACATTTTCATTAAACAAGTTACACACAATTTATTTACATCTTATTATTACTAGTAACATATACATACTAGGTGGGTCCTCATTGGCCCGCTAATTTTGTGAGCAACAAAAAACAAAGTCCAACCCATCATTTTTGTGGTCAAAGTACTTACGAGGTTCCTGTACTATATCGTTTTGTTCAACTTAGTGTTTATACCTTTATTTTGCTCAATTTTGTCATTGTACTTTCAAAAGTGATGCAATTAAGGACAATAGTTAACGGTGTTAATATTAACGTTAACTTAAGTTATGTAGCGTTGACGATATTTATATTCCTACTCATATATTACTTTATAAATATTTAAAATTAATTATTTTTACCACCAATATATTAAATTAGTATGTCCAAAATAAATAATTACACACGTGTTCCTAATGAGATATGGACAATTGTCATTAGTTTTACCACTTTTTTTAAACTAGAGGGACTAAATTGAACAGAATAAATGTATAAGGACTAAATTTAACAAAACACTATACTACCAAAAAAAAAAAAAAGTAAAACACTATAGTACAGAGACTTCATAGGTACTTTGACCCATTTTTGTAGAATAACGGACTAGTTCGGTAGGCTAAGTTCATTTTAACGACACTAGCTAAAAAGAATGGTTAATGCATCATTGAACTCTAGTGCCCATTTAGTTGGCTGAAACAACTTTTTAAACTGTAGAATATAGTAAACAAAATTTGAAAACAATTGTTGGTTTGCCTGAGAGGTTATGGGGGAAGATTTAAGATTTTCTGCACATAAGTGCGCATGGGTTCGAACCCCATAGCCAGCATTTATACTTCATTTTAATGACACTAGCTAAAAAGAATGGTTAATGCATCATTAAACTCTAGTGCCCATTTAGTTGGCGGAAACAACTTTTTAAACTGTAGAATATAGTAAACAAAATTTGAAGACAATTGTTGGTTTGCCCAAGAGGTTAAGGGGGAAGGCTTAAGATCTTTTGCACATAAGTGCACATGGGTTTGAACCACATAACCAGCATTTATACCTGTAGAATGATGGATTTGAACTCTAGTGCCCATTTAGTTGGCGGAAACAACTTTTTAAAGTGTAGAATATCGTAAACAAATTAAATTTGAAAATAATTGCTGGTTTGCTCGAGAGGTTAAGGGGGAAGACTTATGATTTTTTGCATATAAGTGTGCATGGGTTCGAACCCCATAGCCAGCATTTATACATATCTGTATATTAATGAACTCATTCGCCCGCCAAGTCGACGAGTCATTTCTGTATAACGACGGACAAGTTCATTTTAACCACACTAGCTAAAGAGAATGGTTAATGCGGAAACAACTTTTTAAAGTGTAGAATATAGTAAATAAAATGTGAAAACAATTGTTGGTTTGCTCGAGAGGTTAAGGGACAAGACGCATGGGTATAAACCCCATAGCTAAAAAGAATGGTTAATGCATCATTGAACTCTAGTGCCCATTTAGTCGGCGGAAATAACTTTTTAAAGTGTAGAATATAGTAAACAAAATGTGAAAACAATTGTTGGTTTGCTCGAGAGGTTAAGGGCGAAGACGCATGGGTATAAACCCCATAGCCAACATTTATTGAGTATGAACATTTTCATTAAACAAGTTAGACGCAATTTATTTACGTCTTATCTTATTATTATTACTAACATACACATACTATGTGGGTTCTCATTGGCCCGCCAATTTTGTGAGCAACAAAAAGCAAAGTCCATCCCATCATTTTTGTGGTCAAAGTACTTACTAGGTTCCTATACTATATCATTTTGTTCAATTTAGTGTTTATACCTTTATTTTGTTCAATTTTGTCATTGTACTTTCAAAAGTGGTGCAATTAAGGACAATAGTTAACGGTGTTAATATTAACGTTAAGTTAAGTTACGTGGCGTTGACGATATTTATATTCCTACTCATATATTACTTTATAAATATTTAAAACTAATTATTTTTACCACCAATATATTAAATTAGTATGTCCAAAATAAATAATTACACACATGTTCTTAATGAGATGTGGACAATTGTCATTAGTTTTACCACTTTTTTTTTTTTTAAAGTAGAGGGACTAAATTTAACAGAATAAATGTATAAGGACTAAATTTAACAAAACACTATACTACCAAAAAAAAAAAAAAAAGAATAACACTACAGTACAGGGACTTCATAGGTATTTTGACCCATTTTTTGTAGAATAACGGACTAGTTCGGTAGGCTAAGTTCCTATTAACGACACTAGCTAAAAAGAATGGTTAATGCACCATTGAACTCTAGTGTCCATTTAGTTGGCGGAAACAACTTTTTAAACTGTAGAATATAATAAACAAAATGTGAAAACAATTGCTGGTTTGCCCGAGAGGTTAAGGGGGAAGACTTAAGACCCCATAGCCAGCATTTATTCCTCATTTTAATGACAGTAGGTAAAAAGAATGGTTAATGCATCATTGAACTCTAGTGCCCATTTAGTTGGAGGAAACAACTTTTTAAAGTGTAGAGTATAGTAAACAAAATTTTAAAACAATTGTTGGTTTGCCCAAGAGGTTAAGGGGGAAGATTTAAGATTTTTTGCACATAAGTGCACATGGGTTTGAACCCCATAACAAGCATTTATACCTGTAGAATGATGGATTAGTTTGGCAGTTAAGTTCATTTTAACGACACTAGCTAAAAAGAATGGTTAATGCACCATTGAACTCTAGTGCCCATTTAGTTGGCGGAAACAACTTTTTAAAGTGTAGAATATAGTAAACAAATTAAATTTGAAAACAATTGCTGGTTTGCCCGAGAAGTTAAGTGAGAAGACTTAAGATTTTTTGCATATAAGTGTGCATGGGTTCGAACCCCATAGCCAGCATTTATACATATCTATATAATAATGAATTCATTCGCCCGCCAAGTCCGTCCCGTCATTTCTGTATAACGATGGACAAGTTCATTTTAACCACACTAGCTAAAAAGAATGGTTAATGCGGAAAAAAAATTTTAAAGTGTAGAATATAGTAAACAAAATGTGAAAATAATTGTTGGTTTGCTCGAGAGGTTAAGGGACAAGACGGATGGGTATATAAACCCCATAGCTAAAAAGAATGGTTAATGCATCATTGAACTCTAGTGCCCATTTAGTCGGCAGAAATAACTTTTTAAAGTGTAGAATATAGTAAACAAAATGTGAAAACAATTGTTGGTTTGGTCGAGAGGTTAAGGGCGAAGATGCACGGGTATAAACCCCATACCCAACATTTATTGAGTATGAACATTTTCATTAAACAAGTTAGACGCAATTTATTTACATCTTATCTTATTATTATTACTAACATACACATACTTGGTGGGTCCTCATTGGCCCGCCAATTTTGTGAGCAACAAAAAGCAAAGTCCATCCCATCATTTTTGTGGTCAAAGTACTTACGAAGTTCATGTACTATATCGTTTTGTTCAATTTAGTGTTTATACATTTATTTTGTTCAATTTTGTCGTTGTACTTTCAAAAGTGGTGCAATTAAGGACAATAGTTAACGGTGTTAATATTAACGTTAACTTAAGTTATGTAGCGTTGACGATATTTATATTCCTACTCATATATTACTTTATAAATATTTAAAATTAATTATTTTTACCACCAATATATTAAATTAGTATGTCCAAAATAAATAATTACACACATGTTCCTAATGAGATGTGGACAATTGTCATTAGTTTTACCACATTTTTTAAACTAGAGGGACTAAATTGAACAGAATAAATGTATAAGGACTAAATTTAACAAAACACTATACTACCAAAAAAAAAAAAAAAATCAAAACACTATAGTACAGAGACTTCATATGTACTTTGACCCATTTTTGTAGAATAACGGACTAGTTCGGTAGGCTAAGTTCATTTTAACGACACTAGCTAAAAAGAATGGTTAATGCATCATTGAACTCTAGTGCCCATTTAGTTGGCTGAAACAACTTTTTAAACTGTAGAATATAGTAAACAAAATTTGAAAACAATTGCTGGTTTGCCCGAGAGGTTAAGGGGGAAGACCTAAGATCTTTTGCACATAAATGCGCATGGGTTCAAACCCCATAGCCAGCATTTATACCTCATTTTAATGACACTAGCTAAACTCTAGTGTCCATTTAGTTGGCGGAAACAACTTTTTAAACTGTAGAATATAGTAAGCAAATTAAATTTGAAAACAATTGTTTGTTTGCTCGAGAGGTTATGGGGGAAGACTTTAGATCTTTTGCATAAGCCAGCATTTATACATATCTATATAATAATGAACTCATTCGCCCGCCAAGTTCGTCCCGTCATTTCTGTATAACCACCCGCATTTTAACCACACTAGCTAAAAACAATGGTTAATGTGGAAACAACTTTTTAAAGTGTAGAATATAGTAAACAAAATGTGAAAACAATTGTTGGTTTGCTCGATAGGTTAAGGGGCAAGACGCATGGGTATAAACCCCATAGCTAAAAAGAATGGTTAATGCATAATTGAATTCTAGTGCCCATTTAGTCGGCGGAAATAACTTTTTAAAGTGTAGAATATATTAAACAAAATGTGAAAACAATTGTTGGTTTGCTCGAGAGGTTAAGGGTGAAGACGCATGAGTATAAACCTCATAGCCAACATTTATTGAGTATAAATATTTTCATTAAACAAGTTAGACGCAATTTATTTACATCTAATCTCATTATTATTACTAACATACACATACTAGGTGGGTCCTCATTGGCCAGCCAATTTTGTGAGCCATTAAAAGCAAAGTCCGGCCCGCCATTTTTGTAGAATGACAGACTAGTTCGGCAGGCTATGTCCATTTTAATAACACTAGCTAAACAAAATTGTGAATGCAGCATTGAACTTTAGTGTCCATTTAGTCGGCGGAAACAACTTTTTAAAGTGCAGAATATAGTAACATGGGGGGTGTGGTTGAGTGAAAATGACTCATTCATCCTTAACCAAAGGTCAAGGGTTTAATCATTGATTTTGGGTATGAAGTAGCCTTAAATCTCCAGGTCAGCTGTTCCACCCAAAAGATCCAACGAAAGGATTAGTCACTGTGTTCGTCGGTGAAAATCATGGGAAGACTTAAGATCTTCCTTCTATACATAAGTGTGCGTGGGTCCGAACCCCATAGCCAGCATTTATACCCATCTATATAATTGAGTATAAACATTTTCATTAAACAAGTTAGACGCAATTTATTTACTTATTATTATTATTATTATTATTATTATTATTATTATTATTATTATTATTATAGCTATTATAAATTTTATTTTAATATATAATAAAATTTATTAAAATAATTAATATTTAAAAAAAAATTATTTTGTAATAAATTTATATTACAGCTTTGATTCGGTTGCTACAGTAGTACAATGTCCGATTAGGTTTGAACCGAACCGTGATCTTCCATACATACAATCAATAATTTGTTAGAGAAGAAAAATAAATCAAATACTCTGTATTTACTTTTAAGGATAAAATTGTCCTTCTAATATAAAAGGTAGAAAAACTGTCACTTTTAAGTTTTAACATAACTGAAGGGACAAATGTGAGTACATGAATAACTCGAGAGAAAAATTGCTATAAATATATAATTCAGGGGGAAAGAGTGACAATTTTCAGAGTAATAATAAATAAAAGGAAAATGGGAAAGAGAATATTCAAAGGAGAAATCCTCGTTAACTACCTTAATAATCGGTCATCTCTTTCTCTAATAATATGAGAAGTTCAGAACTAATTTCCGGAACGCTTACCATTAACAAATCCACCGACGGAAAACCTCGTACCGATACACCACCTTAATCGCCGATCGCCGGTGGTTACTGTTACGTCATGCATCATCATCAACAACACCAAAAATCCGTCCACTTTGAACCGGGCTATCGCCGTCCGGTTCGAAATGTGACGCCGCTGGCAATCGCGCCGCCGTTACTCCCGCGCGTGTTCACCCCCGTCCTGAGCCCCACCCAGCGGCGGCGCGTGGCCATCGCCGTCGACCTCAGCGACGAGAGCGCGTTCGCCGTGAGATGGGCCGTCCGGCATTACCTCCGGCCGGGGGACGGCGTGGTCCTGCTCCACGTCCAGCCAACCGCCGTGCTCTACGGAGCCGACTGGGGGATCTCCACTCCCTCCGACCACGCGCCGCCGCCGCCGCCGCAGACGGCGGCGGAGGAGGAGGATATCATCGACGATTTGACGAGCGCGAAAGCGGAGCATCTAGCGGAGCCGCTGGTGAACGCGAACGTGCCGTTCACAATCCACATAGTGAAAGATCACGATCTGAAGGAGAGGCTGTGCTTAGAGGTGGAGCGGCTGGGGCTGAGCGCCATGATAATGGGGAGCCGAGGTTTCGGGTCGCCGTCGAAAAGGGGGAGCAAGGTGGAGAGACTTGGGAGCGTGAGTGACTATTGCGTCCACCATTGCATCTGCCCCGTGGTGGTGGTGAGATATCCCGACGGAGACGGCGGCGGCGGGGCGGCGACCGAGGTGGTGGTGGATCTCCACCCTGTTCCGGAGGATAAAGAATACGAGTACCACGATAATGCTGACGATGAAGTGGATGAACTTGAAGGTGTTTGAGCCATGCTTTACATGAGCTTCATCCCCTTGTCCCAAACTCAGGTGGTGTATTGTGTTCAAAAAATTTCCGTCATTATAAATGAAAATTACAATTTCTTGGTATAACTTATTTTCTTTTTCTTTCTTCTATGTCATAATTAAAAAACATACAACAACTGACGTGCGTGATCATGCACTCTCATCCTTTAAATGACTTTTCACTTAATTGGGTCTGTCCGATACGAACGAGATTAGTCTGAGTATATTACGGACTTAAAGTTGCCTCCTATAAGCCAATAATATTCCATCGATCCTGTGATTGAGGTGTCAATTGGGCACAAGGAATGTATAGCGTGACATTCATAAATTAAAAGATTAAAAGCAATGAAATTTTATCTCATCTCTAATCTGACATTGTTTCTTGCCCATCCACAATCTATTATAACTAACTAAGCTGGTCATGTTACCAAACAAGATCATTGAACCAACAAATTATCAATCACCATATCAATGGGTATCAATTTCATATTTAATTTAGATGAATTTAGTCTACAATATAATTTGTGCACATGCAGAAATAACCTTTTGTAAGACACTTGAAACAATGTCACGCCATATATGATTTTCGACACTTGAAAGTGAACTCTCATCCCATTGACACCTCTCGTACTCATATTGTTATCTTATCAAATACTTGTAAATTAATACATACTAGACTAGCCTTCACATTATCAATATAATCAATACGAGCCCTTGGTTATATTAGCCAATCGATTCTTGTTCTTATTTTACCTAACTTAATCAGTTGACTAATTTTATATCAAAAAATAGCTAGGGTGCTTAATTTTAGCACCCTAAAAGTCTAATACCCAACAACATATGCAATTATGACCACTTGGTACAACCTCATCATGTTTAATGAAATCAAGACAATTGTATTGTGTGACCTCGTAGTAGCAAAATATAAAAACTCCAAATACAAAATTTGTGTTTATAAAGGAACATGATGGTCTAAACCTACATCAAGAACAACAACAATGTCTGATGAAATAGCACGAAGCAACTAAACATTTTTTTATTTACACCTTAGAAAAGCCCGTAATCGCTACTGGCTCAAAGTAAAACATGTCTTAAATAATACTATACACACTCTAGATAATACACACTCCTATAAGAAGTCGTAGAGATTGGTCAGTTCAAATAAGTGACATTCCCCATAAAGAGTCCAACTTAAAAACTGCTAATTGATCGACCATCTTGGTTGGTGTACACCAAGAGTAGCCTCACTCAGGCTTCTACACATAGAGATTAGCCCTGAAACTTGAAACCTTGCTAACTTCACAACCGTGATGGTAATGAGAGCTTGTTCTCGTCACTTTCGGCGGCGCCCTTCCGCGCAGTCTACTTTTACACGCCTTCGGCAACGGTGCAGTCGGCGTTGATTGACTTTTCCGGCTATAGACCGACGAAGACGATAGCTTGTGCGAGGAAGATCCGCGGCTGCGCGTTCCATCTCGGCGCATGTGTTGGCCGCCGGAGCCAGTGAGCAACCGAGCCGGGCGGTCCGCGGAGTGGTTCAGGGCTCCAACTCTCATTGGTTGATGGTTGAAGAAGACGAGATGGGGAAGAAGGCCCTGCAGGTATTTCTTTAGGTGTTCATCGCCGACGTGCTTTTCCGCAGGGTTTCCTTCCAGGTTTATGGCTTGCAGATTGCAATTTGCTGAAAGTTGGCGCAGGCATTTTGTTGCAGAAATCTTGTTGAACCTTAGATCCAAAACGTTGAGTTTTAGGAGGCGGTGGAGACCTTCAACCTCGCCAATTTTGTTCCCACCTAGGTACAATTCTAACAAGGAAGAACAGGATCCTAGACCTGCAAACCAAGTAAAACTAAAATGCTGGGACAATCCCAAGGAAGTTGGTCTGTTGACCAATAATTATATCATGGTCCATAATTCAACCGTTGACATAAAAGATATATTTTTAATATACTAAAAGTATAATTTAAATATATTAAATATTTATTTTTTAGAGGTATATATACTATTTTGTCTATTTGAGTATTGAAATTACATTATTTGAGCAACTCTTAGCTATAGGAGACACCTTTGGCTAAATTGGTTTTTTCATACGAGAGTGAATTTTGAACTTCAGACCTCTGTTAAGAAATGAGAGTGCACATCCACTCATGCCAACCAAATTGGTTAAGTATTACCAAATAATGAACATTCATTATACAAATAATGTACATTCAGTATATTAAAATGAATATTTATTCATGATCTATAATATAATTTGCCACGGTTGACTTGGTAACACAAGATTACAAGTAAAGGTGGCCAAAGTCCGGTCTTGTGTTGGACATGGGTTGATCCCGGGCCTAGACTAGCACGACTGTGAATATTATTATTATTATTATTATTATTATTATTATTATTTACATAAAATAATTATTATTATTTTTGTTTAAATTAAGATTTGGTCCACTAATATCACAGTTAAAAATCAAAATTATATCTAATTAAGGGCACTTCAACTTATGCAATGATGCTAATTAATTTATATAAACATTAAGATACATACATATCATCAATAATTTAGAGGAACCAAAATCTCCATTGTTATGATTATGCTAGCATTACTAGTTTTATAGAACAATTTCACATAACAATTTACATATAGAATTTCGCCGAGTATGCGTATCTAAACAAACATGTCTTTTATTAACCATGTTGTGAACACAATATTTTAAAACCATTATTTTTCCTATTGTATCCAAGTCATTAGTATATTTTCTAATTGGTTCAACAAAATCACACAAACTTTGAAGTTCTTATTGGACACATAAATTTAGAACATGAGTGCAATAATTGACCATTAACAAGTAAAGGTAAGGTTTCAAGTAAATGATCTATAGATCTAGAAAAAAATTGAAAATACTTTATTTATAAATTCAAACTCATTTGACTCAAAGTCCGAGCCTAAGCCGTGCCTGAGCTGATTACAGGCATGTGCCGTGCCTAGACTGGGTCTTGGACCGGTTTCGAGATGGGTCCCGGGTTTTGTTTTAATAGGACCTAAATCGGCCCTATACTAGCCGGTCCTGGTCCGTGCTAGGCCTGACCTAGGCCCGATGAAGTCCATGTCCAATTTTTTCCGGACCGATTCAAGGTTGGTCAGTCCTGAACCGGCTCGTGGCCATCTCTTATTACAAGTTTGGCTCCTAGCTGAAAAAGCCTATTAACCTTTTTTATTTAAGCTCCTTTTTGTAATTCTTTATTAACTAGAGTCTCAAAGGGAGATTGTAGATTTCACTCTTCATCCTGGAAAAAAAAAAAACTAGAATGCTTTTCTAGATTTACATTTGAGTCTACAAGCAAGTGGATAAAGATTGAAAAGGAAGCCATACCATGACCAACTCTTAGCAAACGGTTGTAGCTCAAGTCAAGTACACGAAGCCGAGTGAGCTGGCGTAATCCTTCAATGGTTGAGATATTATTGTTGGAAAGGTTCAAAATATGCAGACCTCGAGGAAGAGAACCGCCTGTAATGCTTGCTGCAGAAGAGAAAGAACAACAATGGTAATATAAAAAAGAAATCTGTTGAGTCAAGTCTAGCATTTAGGTCATTGAAATTTAGTATTCATTATAATTTTTGGCATAATGTAAGCATTTAATTTGACAATTGGTATCAGAGCAGTTACGTACCTATGGCATTTCCACGCAAATCTAGTGATTTGAGGGCTGCAAAAGCACTAAGAAATGGGATAACAACCAATCCACGGTTCACAAACTGAGCAAAGGTGGCTGTAGAACTCAAAGAAGACAAATATTTCTTAACAGCTTCTTTGCTAGGGCTCACCATCTCATCAAGTTTTGCCACAACAGGTGAAGAAGAAGAAGTTCTGTCCAACATAAACCCTTTATTATTATTATCATCTTCATCATCATTTGTTTCTTCAAAACACCCACAATTCTGGAGCTCTGAAACCCATTTCTCCATCCTTTTTAGCCTGAAATCTCCATCCTTCTTAGCCTGAGTGTCGTTGTCGTTGTTGTCGTCTATCTCCGACAGCTTCTCATCCCCATTTGACGACACAATTGATGAATCTTCATCGTTGTTTACCAAATCAGAACATTCAGAATGCCCAACCTCGTCAGTATCGAAATCCTTGGAATCGTCGAAAGATCTCTGCCAGCTTTCATCCTCATCGGAATCATCATTGCCGCCATCATATGCAGCCATTGCTTTCAGATCCAATCCGGTGCCCAAAGACATACTCTTCTTCACATGATTTCCAGGCTTATTATGATGATGATGATGATCAATCATCGCTTCACGTTCGCTGCTAAGATTGCTCCCAATATCATCATCATCATCAAATTCTTCACCATATTTATCAAGAATATGATTGTTGTTATAGAGCATGGCTTCATCCCCAGACATTTCGACAACTTTCTGATGATACAAAATTCTTGTTGCAGAATTCTCATGAAACATAATCATGGCGGATCTTAATTACCCCTCGTCAACGTAACAATCATCCAATCCCTTATGAACATGAACCGAAAGATACGTTCTGTATGTTCTGTCTCAACTAAAAGTTGTTTTAGGGTAGAGGGGAAGAATGAGATGAGGTCTGGAGAGATTTGTTCTTGAGGTATATATCATATATGCATGTGGATATACATATGTTATGCGGAGATTGATCATTCACAATAAGCATATCTATATCCAAACATACATAAACATTATAGAGTGCTTAATAATAATCCTAAAAGCATATAAATCTTATGACAAAAAAAAGGAGAAAATTTTGAAATGATGAATTTAGAAATATGACCTCTCCCTAGCCATGTCTACGAAGCTCCGAATCTTTAGATTATGTGAAATGAAGAGAAAAATATGGGGGTGGGAGTACAATGAAGGAGAGAAATTTAATTTTTTTTTTTCTGGCAGCAAAAAGTGAACTGTCGTCCACGATTTATTTTAATTTAATTATCTATGAAAATATAATGACAATTAATATTCGATACAATAACATCGATTAACGCTATTTTACAACTTAACAACTATAAATGGTTTGTTGTATAATGAAGTTATTTCCCTAGCTATTTGGT